ATGTCTGTCTGTCTGCTTATATATGTATTTAACTACCTACATATACGCGTATACATAATATGCATATACATATTACTCGATAACGCAAAATAATAACCTACAGTATACCCAAAACCAACAGAAACAAAACAAAACCTCATTTTTATCATAGATACGAAATAATCGTGCCAAACACAAGCCCACTCTCTCCGCAGGAGGTCCTTGAGGAGACGCTCTTCGGACGAGGGGCGGGAGGGCGAAGGACACGCGGGTGACGTGGACGCACAGCTCGGGAGGGGGAGTGGGGGTGGCACTGCCCGTCACCAGGATCATCACCACCTCCTGCAGAGTGCCGTCGCTCGTCTGGGGGGCGTCGTCGAGGAGGTGGGCGTCGGCGTCGGAGGTGGGCGTCGCGAGGTGGCGTCGAGGAGGTGGGCGTCGAGGAGGTGGGCGTCGCGGAGGTGGGCGTCGCGGAGGTGGGCGTCGCGGAGGAGGGCCAGGTCGTGGTGGTTGAAGGGCAAGGAGTAATAATGGTAGTTTTGATGGTAATGGTAGTGATGGTAGTGGTGGTGGTGATGGTGAAGGGAGTATTGGTTATAATGATGATGATGATGATGATGGTGATAGTGATAGTGATAATGATGATGATTGTCATCATTATAATCATTATCATACCATCATCATAACAATAACGATCAGAAGAAGAGTAGAAAAAGAATATACCAATAATAATAACGATAAAGATAATATCAATAACAACAATATTACCAACAACCCTAAAAAACACATAGACAACTAAACAACGTGAATAATCATTATCCATCAATCACCTTAATATAATACTAATAACAATTATAATAACAATAATATGATAATAATAAACAATAATAAAATGATAATGATATATAATAATAATAACAATAATAATAATAATAACAATAATAATAATGATAATGTTAATGATATTAATAATAATAAAAATAAGTCCCCTTCCCACTAACACCTGAACACGAACCAGCTGACTCCCCCACCAACCTGAAGATGACTCGGAACCTCAAGGAGTTTCCTGAGGTTGTACGTGAGGTGCGTGGGCGTGTGGAGGACGAGGATCGGGCGGCGGGCGTGGGCGGCGGTGAGGACTTTACTGAGAAGGTCCTCGTCGCCGGCGTGGAGGACCTGGAGGCCTCCTTGTTCTTCGTGGAGGGGGTCAGCCATCGGACGCACTGGGAGGAGGGCGAGGGAGAAAGAGAGGAGTTGGGTGGATAAAAAGAGGGTTAGAGAGGATGGTAGGCAGGTGGATGGATGGAGAGATTAGGATAGATAGAGAGAGAGAGAGGGAGGAGAGGGAGGAGAGGGAGGGAGGGAGGGAGGGAGGAGAGAGAGAGAGGAGAGAGAGAGAGAGAGAGAGAGAGAGAGAGAGAGAGAGAGAGGAGAGGGAAAGGGAGAGGGAGGAGGGCAGAGTGAGAGAGAGAGAGAGGAGTTGGGTGGATAAAAAGAAGGGTTAGAGAGGATGGTAGGCAGGTGGATGGTCGGAGAGAGGGAGAGGAAGATGGAGGGAGATAGATAGGTAGATAGAGGGAGAGGGAGAGATAGATAAATAGATAGATAGATAGACAGAGAGAGAGACAGAGAGAGACAAACAGAGAGAGGGAGGAGAGACAGACAGACAGACAAAAAGAAAAAGAGCGACGAGCAGACAGACAAACAGACAACCCCAACGAGAAAAATAATTTTTTAAAAGTACTCCTTCCTCCTTCCTCAACATGCAAAAATACACACTGTACCACACCCATCCAACCCCCCCCCCCAAGAAAAAAAAACCTACATCTTGTTCATATCACCCCTATTTTAGGCTTTAATACCACACACTACCTTACATACCCTCCCACACAAAAAATCCCACATCTTTATCCATATTGACTCTTAACCCAATATAACCCCCCAACCTCACAAAAAAATGTCCATATTGACTCTAACCCAAAATAACCCCCATAAAAAAAGAAAAAAAAATACATACTATCCATATCCATTCTAACTTAGCCCTTACTACCACATCACACCCAACTTAACACCTCCTCCCCCCCCAAAAAAATAATAATAAATGAAAAAAAAACTCAAATCCTCTTTATAAAGAACTCGAACCCACCATATAATCAGGATCGAGGACGAGGGGTCTCCTTATAGCCGAGAGGACCAAGGCGGCCTGTAAGAAGCAGGCTGGGTCGCGGTACAGGTCGGCTGCCTCCCACGTGTCCCTCTGTTCGGCTGTGCTCAGTGTCTCCATCAGGCTGTCGGGAGAAAATGAAGGCGAAGAAAACGAAAATAAACGAAGGGGAATAAATGGTGAAAAGGGGAGTAATAATGATGAGGATGAGGATAAATGGTGATGAAAAAAGGGTGAAATAATGAGGATGAGGATGAGGATAGATGGTGATGAAAAAAATGTGAAATGATGATGTGATGATAATAATAATAATGAAAATCATCACCATCATAAGCAGAGAAGTGATAATACTAATAGCAGCAACATTAAGAAGAGGAAGAGGAAAAAAAAAAGAGGAATAAGACGTCACAGATGTGCGCGCGCGCGCGCGCGTGTTAAAAAAACAGCCATTTCAAACCACCCAAACCACCGAACGACATCAAACAGCCCCATTACTCACTCGTACTTGGCCGGCGTAACGACCCCGCTGGTGACGAGGATGTTGACAACGTTCTGCAGGAGCTGGTCTCGGTGGGCGGAGGTCAGCGCCCCCAGGTAAGCCACGGCCACGCCCCGAGAGTGCACTCGCCGTAGACGCCCTCGGCTTCGGCCATCAGGGTCTGGGAGGGAGAGGGAGGGAGGGTAAGAAGTGGTGGAGGGAGGAGGGAGGAGGGTAGAGGTGGTGGAGGGAGGGAGAGGAGGGTAAGAGGTGAGGGAGGGTAAGGGAGGGAGGATAAGGGATGGTGGAGAAGGAAACGGAGGGGGGGGCAGGGGTGGGTTTGATGGGGTGGTGGAAGGAGGAAGGATGGTATGCGAGTGATTGTAAAGGGAAGGAGGAGAGAAAAAAGAACACAGTGAGAGAGAAGAGAGAGAGAGAGAGAGAGAGAGAGAGAGAGAGAGAGAGAGAGAGAGAGAGAGAGAAGAGAGAGAAGAGAGAGAGAAGAGAGAGGAGAGAGAGAGAGAGAGAAGAGAGAGAGAAGAGAGAGAGAGAGAGAGAGAGAGAGAGAGAGAGTGGAACAGGTAATCATTAAACCTCAAAGGTAATCAGACATTAGACCCAACAAAAGACAAAAAAGACTTCCCCAGACCATAAAAATACCCCATGAAACACCAAAAACGACTTCATCAAACCTTGAAGATTTCCTCCTCGAGAGACCAAAAATGACTTCCTCAGACCTTGAAGAATTCCCCCACGGGAGACCAAAAACTATTTCCCCAGACCTTAAAAACACCCATGAAAGCCCATAAACGACTTCCCCAGACCTTGATAAAATCCCAACCAGAGACCAAAAACGACTTCACAGACCTTTCAGAATTTCACAACGAATCAACTAAGAATTCCTCCACGAGAGACCAAAAAAACTTCCCAGACCTTAAAAATGCTCCATGAAAGATCATAAACGACTTCCCCAGACCTTTAACCCCCCCCCAAAAAAATGATAATAAATAAATAAATAAATAAATAAATAAATAAATAAAACGAAACCTTGACTAACCTTGATCTTAGCCGACCACCGCGAATCTTCGTCAGCCAGGACGGTAGTCAGCCTCGTACACCGCTGGAGCCTCGCCGTGGCCCTCTTGATCCCCCCGTCCAGCTGCTGACGGCGACACACACACGCCTCGTACCGTGCCTGCAACTCCGCCAGCTCCCTCTCGCTCTGCCCTAGTTGCTGTTGCAGTTGCCGTTGGTCTAATTGCAGCCCGTTCAGCTCACGTTCCAGTTCTACCAGTCTGGAAATTTGTACTTTTTTTGTTCTGTTCTTTAAGTAGTCTGCGTGGTTGCAGCTCAACCAGTCTGGAAATTTCCATCTGTTTTAATGGGTATCTGCGTGGGGTTATTACTTTTCCAAGAATCGGATATAACTGCATTTTGGGGAATTCGTTTTTTCTCTTCTGTTTTATAGAGTCTGGTTTTAGTTGTCCGCGTGGGATCATTACGTTTCCAAGAATCGGGTATATCTGCACTTTGGGAAATTCGTTATTTCTCTATTGTTTTATGGAATCTGATATTATTATTTTACATCAAGTCCTGGCATAATTCGCTTGTTTCAGAGAACTTTGTACCTGTCCAAATACACCGTGTAGCCCGACGTATATGCATGGCAACTATATTCAAAATCAAGACAAAACGTCACCGCTACATTATACCCCTGAATTCTTTGACTCTAAAAAATCCGCATTAATGATGAGTACTTAAAAAACAAAACAAATAAGAGTAAGAATAAGATAAAATAGAATTAATAAAATGATATCAAATTTAATCAAAAGTGAATAAGAATAAAACAAACAACAAAAAATAACACATACTAAAAATAAACCAAAACAACAAAACTAAAATAACCAAACCAAATCAAAAACAAAAATAATATTAATCAAAATAAAAAATAATAATAATAAAACAAGACAAACAAAAAAAAAAATCAGAATAAAAATAAATGAACCTACTTCAACTTCTTGGGTTCGACGTTGCGCAGAACCTGGGAGTAGTGGTCGAGCGCCTTGAGCCACGCACACAGGGGTCGACATGGCTTGGACACCTTGGCGACCTGGGAAGGCGAATGGAGGTGTGGTTGGTCGCTTGAGGGTTTGTGTGAGAGGTGATTATGTATTCGTAAAGATTATTTTGTTTATTTTGACGTGGTTGTTCGTTCTAACTGTTTGTCTGTTTTCCTTCTTTTTGTTCCCTCTATTTTTCTTTTTCTTTTTCTTTTTCTCTCTCTCTCTCTCTGTCTGTCTGTCTCTGTCTGTGTCTCTGTCTGTCTGTCTCCTGTCTGTGTCTGTTGCTCTCTCTCTCCCTCCTCCTCTTTCACTTCTTCTCCCTCTCCCTGCCCCTCCCCTTCCTATCCTACTCCCTCCCCTCCCACCACACACTACCACCCTCCTTCTACCCTCCTTTCCTCCCAAACCTCCACCAAACCGCACCTCATCAGGAATAAACTTGGGATTCTCCGTGTACTTCTTGAGCTTCCTGAGGGTGGCGTCCGAGATCGTGTCCTTCTCCACCTCCATCAGTTTCTTGGTCATGTTGGGGTCGCCGAGGAGCGTCTTCATGGATGCCCAGTCCGGTCTGCAAGAGGTGAGGGGAGAGGTAAGGGGCGGGGGTCGTTCTTGTAGGGGAGGGGCAAGGATGAGGGGGTTGGGACGTGTGGGATCTGTTTGGTTTTGTGTTTGTGTGTGTGTGTTTGTGATACGTTGTGTTTTGAGAGAGAGAGAGAGAGAGGAGAGAGAGAGAGAGAGAGAGAGAGAGAGAGAGAGAGAGAGAGAGAGAGAGAGAGAGAGAGAGTCAAAGTTATTTCAAGTAAGAGTATCTAAAATATATATATATACGCTTTAATGAATGAGTCAAAGTCAAAGGTTATTTTATGAACAAACAAACGTTCCCTTAGAAATTACACATTGCCTAAAAGACTGCTCCGTTGCAATATTTCCAATCAAGTTTTAACAGACACACCCAAAGATCAATCAACGTCTAAGTTTTAAGATGACTCACAGAAATGCCTAAAGAACATTCAACACGTTATTTTTTACGAATTACACATTAGTTTCAAGAATAATTCCTATATAATTCTAGATCTATGCTCCTCTTACTTGACGTTAAGCAGGATACAGATGGGTTCCATGACAGCCAGCACGAGGTCGGGTGGCTTATTGAGCACTCGCACCTCGACCAAGTCCTTCTTGTCCAGGGCCTTGACTGCTTTCTCCGTGGCTTCTAACGCTGGCATTGCCTCCCCGACCTCCTGCGTGATCTCGTCGTTCATGGCCGCCACGCTGTCGTTCTTCTCCTGCAGGAGGCGTGTGAAGAGGAGGGGGGTGAGAGTCGAATTCGTTCGTGTGAGTGTGATAAGAAGATGAGAGGTGGGTTGGAAAGAGAGGGGAACATTCGAAACAAAATTATCCTAAAAAACTCTGTCTGTCTGAATTACTTTCCTCGCAATTCTAGATTTACAATTTCCGTTAATGTTCCAAGACACTAAATATGAAAATTATAAACCAAAAACTATAGAAAAATAAATCTAATAACCTTGACTGATGCTTATTTATCTCTCGGATAACTAATTCAAAGAGAAAGAGAGAGAGCGAGAGAGAGGGGGGGGTGGAGATGAAGACAACAGAAGATAAAAAAAATAACGAAATAGAGAGAGAAGGGGAACGAAATAGAGAGATGAAGATTGAGAGAGGGGGGGTGCTGGAGAGGAAGACAACGGAAGAGAGAAAACGAACGAAATAGAAAGAGAGAGAGAGAACGAAATAGAGAGAAAGAACGAAAGAGCGACAGAGATAGCCAAAGAAACAGAAACACAGAAAAAAAAGAGAAAAACAATCCCCCCAAAAAAGCAAGAGCCGAGAGGCACACACCTTCACCCTCTCCTCCTGAGCCACCATCTGGTCCCTCAGCTGAGCCACTTGATTCCGGTGCTGAGCCAGAGCCTGCGTAAGCCGGTTCCCCTCGTCCTGGGTCGCCTTCAGTTCGGGTTCAAGTTCGTTCAGTTCGCCCTTCAGTTCTTCGACATTCACGCCCGTTTCTTGAAGTTTCTGTGAAGGGAAAAAGTCGGGAAGAGTATATAGTGTTAAATATATGTGAGTAAAAATAATCCATAAACAAACAAATAAACCTAAGTCTTACATCCATGCCGCCCTTGAAGAGAGCCAGCGACTCCCGGAGCTCCGTTCGCCGCCTCGCCAGCAGCGTCACCGTCACGCGACACGCCTCCACGTAGTCGGACACCGTCACCGTAACTCCCTTTTCCCTGGCCAGCATCTAAGGGCAGGGGAGAGGTTTTAAGGGGGTGATTATGGGATAGAGGTTTAAGGGGGGTGGGGGAGAGTTTTAAGGGGTGTAGGGGTTAAGAGTGGAGAGGAAGAGGTTTTATGCGGGGGGGTTTAAGGGGGGAGGGGGTTAAGGGGAGGGTTTTAAGGGGGTTAAGGGGAGAGCTTTTAAGGGTGTGGGGTTAAGGGCGGAGGGGGGAGAGGTTTTAAAGGTGTGTGGGTTAAGGGGGAAGGGGAAAGGTTTTAAGGGTATGGGGTTAAGGGGGAGGGGGAGAGGTTTCAAGGGGGAGGGGGAGAGTTTTAAGGTGAGGGAGTTAAGATGTGGGGGGGGAAGGAGAAGGGGAGAGGGTTTTGAGGGGTGTGTAAGGGGTTAAGGGGGTTCCGGATGGGTAGGGGAGGGGATAGAGGGGGAGGGGGTGGGGAGGTTAACGGTGAGGCGTTAAGGGGATCCCGAAGGATAAAGGGAGGGGATAGAAGGGTAAGGGGAGTTATTGGGAGGGAAGGGGAGACTTTGAATGGGCGAAGAAGAGAAAGGATTGTGATGGGGAAATTATCATTACCATTACTATTACCACTACCAAAACCATCCTACTACCACCCACCAAATGGATACTCGGCAGAGCGGCTTGCATCTGGTGAAGGATATGCGGAGGGATGTCGTAAGGAAGCAGGATCCTTCGGGCTACCTGACGAAGGGTGTCGGAGTCCCATCTGTCGAGCCTCACCCAGGACCAGCGGCTTCGGAGGGGAGGGTATCGCTCGCACCAGCTGTCTGTGGTCTGTGGGGTGAGAGGTTGGTGTGTGGGTGGTGGTGTGTGGTGTGTGAAAATTAGGGTTTAGGTTGGGGTACGGGTTAAGAATGGTACCGGATAGAAGTACAATTAAAAAAAAATCTAGCGTTTTATTTCATACAATGATAACTCTAACAACGACAGTAATAAGAATAGTATCAAGGTCCAATATAATAATGATGCCATCATCAATAACACAAACAATTCATTACGTATTCCATCTTTTGCACCATAAGAACCCTCCAGTTTTCGTTCTTTTTGTGTCGCTAAGCTTTTAGGATCAAACCCTCAAAATATCAATTCTCAATTTTGATATGTTTTCAGCATAAACGTGTCACATATTGATTGAGAGCTAATGGCTAAACTTTGCCTGATTATTACACAATAATTTCAAATGCAGTCGAAAAAATATACTAAATGAAAATTATGAAACTCGAAATAAAGAAAATATAATCGTAATAGTGGATTGTTGTTTATCGAATTATTCATATGTTTATTGACTAATATATATGTGATAATGTATAATATATGACAGCCTATGCAATGTAGAACTAGGGTCGCGGTCATGTTTGGAGGTGCATGATTAGGGTGGCCTGAATAGAAGATTGGGACCCACTGGTCTACAAACTCACGTGGCGACTGTGTGAGACCAGACACACGTGGAGGTGTCGCTTGACGTTGGTGATGAGGCGGTGACGTAGGGAAGACACCTCGTCCTCCTCCAGGTAGGTCATCCACTTGTTCTCGCGAGGGAGCTCCTTGCCCTTGAGCCTGATAGCTTCTAGAAGACCTCGTAACCTCAGCCGCCCCAGGAGGGTTTCGCTCCATCCTGAAGGAGAACGTGAAGTGATGATACCCAAAGGAGTGAAAAAAATAAAATGGAAAACAGGAAGGAAAGGGTATTTGGATGAGAAAGGAACATTTCTCACGTGCTGGGAACCGTTTCGAGTGCAAGCATACCGGTGTGCGCGAGGCTGTGGAGGACGTCGAGGAGTTGGGGCGTGACGGAGTGATCCCTGACCACGACGACTGTCCTCCGACCTCCCACTCCGGAGGCCTCCACAGCCGACCTCACCGCTCCCACACGACTGGCTTCGTCGCGGTAGTCGTCGAGGTGATATACTCTGTTACGGAAATAAGAAAATAAAGTTGAAAGAATCTAAAACAAGCTGGAAATAGTTTAAAATATTCATCATAATTTTGTTAATCTAAAAGTACAATATATATACATATAGTTACCTTGCCCTGGTGTAATGGGCAGCTAGCTTGACAAGTGACAGTTTGCCCACACCAGGCGGCCCGACCACAACGGCGTGGCTCCAAAAGGTTTCCATCGTGATCACGAGTTTGAGCAAAGCCATAAAATGAGCCTGTGTAAACATGATTTGCTGCAGGCCGTCCGGGTACTGAGACAGAATACGAAAACATACATGAAAACACATCATTTATACTCTGCTTCTTATGTCAGTTTACAGAGCAAACACTATCAACATTCAGTAAAACAGTTGCAGTATAAGGGGAAATATCGTATTCACCTGGATATTTTTTACGAACTCGTTGTAGTCTTTCGCGTGTATCATCATCTTCTTGCCTTCCTCCGTCTGCCCCGGCCACCACGCCAGACCCTCTTCCACCTGTTCGCAAGGAATATAGTGTTATTTTTTATCAACTGGTGTGATTTTCAGACAACATAACATCAATTGGAATCTAAAAATATAAATGATATTCATGTGCTTTTTTTACATATGCAGTTACGCACACTTATATTGGTTGTATTTATAAATTATTAGCTGTATGATTTTTATGTAGACGTAAAGATTAATGTGAAGTGAAGCGACCCGGGTACCTCTTCGAATTTGTTTTTGACGATCTTGAAGACTCGGTCGGAGAGTTCTTCTTCGCTCTCGACGACAGAGCTAAAGATCCTGCCAGCTTCAAAGGCTATGAGGGACGCTGACTGCCCTATTGTCATCTGTAGGAGGCGAGCGTTCTTCCGCAGCGCCTCTGTCAGCTGCAGGAGGTGGTGTAGGTTAGGAAGAGTGTTGCGAGGACTGGCGCTACGGCTCTTCCTGCCTGTGTCTAGTCGGCTGCCGTTGCTCGTGCTGGTGTCCAGGTCGGGCAAGTCGAAGGAGTCCTTGGCCGAGCCCTTGTCTGAGGCAGGCCCGCTGAGAGGGCCTTCTGTCGCCTCGTCCGGGGGTTCTGCCGTGGCCGGACGGGATGCTGTCTGGGGTCTCGAAGCGGTCCGTGGCCTCGACGAAGCCCGAGACCGCGAGGCCGTTTGGGGACGCGAAGAAGGTCGTGAACGCGAGGCTGTCTGCGGTCGAGAGGAGGCCCGGGTTCTTGACGCGGTTCGTGGTCGTGAGCCCGTCTGGGGTCGTGACGACTGGCCGAGACCTTGGTACAGCTCGACTACAACGTCCCTGGTAGCGTCTGGCTGGAAGTTTTCCTCGTCCAACTCTGCTAACACGTCTTGCAGCGATACCTAAAACCGTCATTGAAAGATTAGACAGGAGCATAATCATTTTTATTAAACCATAAAAAGAATTTAAAAAACTTAATGCTTTATAACATAACAAGTAGCAATCTCCTACACTAACTATAATAAGCAACATAAAACAGGATCTATGACTAATGTTGCCATGTTCCTAAAATAAATTACAAGATCGCACGTTAACTGAGACTATCACGAAAGGTTTTAACCCTCAGAAACCGCAAACCAACGTGAAATGAAATCACATACCCCCAGCAATTTCCACTCTTTCCGCACAAAATTCACAGAAAACGAGAAACGCGCATAACGAAACCCCATGACATTCGCTTCCTAATTCTTATCTCATTCTTATCCCGCAACATCTGACCTTCCTCTGACCTTAACAACGTGTTCACAAGACCGCGACGAGATGCAAGGGACGCCCATGACCACGCAGTGCCTAAGGATCCTCGCGGGCACGTTCTGGTCGGGGAGGGCGTGGCAGGAGAGCGCCAGGAGGGGCACCACCCTCTGCAGGCGATACCTCGTTCCTGAAGAAGGACACACGACCTCACCATACTCCACCATGTGTCTGGAGGAAGGGTAACGTATTCTTAGGCAAAAGTATAGCATGTAATTGTTTTAATTCTATTGATTTGTTTAGATCGTACCTGCCAAATTATTTATTATGAATACTGTAATGATTGTAATACAATAAATTTGTCTACATGTGCGGATACAAAGACAATGATCATTACTTTCTTAATAGTTAAATCATATTAATAAGGAATGTTCGAAATAACACTAATGCGTACATGATAAACAGGAAAGTGTAAGTGCAAACAAGGACCATCCAACTTTGATCCCAAACTGTACCTGAATATTTCCCAGATGGTTCCCAGTGTTCCGCCAGAGTCCAGCTGCAGGTGAACATCTTCCAGAATCAAGAGAGAAAACCCCTCGTCTCCCGGAGCGAGAATCGGAATGTTCTCGAAAGCGTCTCTCTGTGACATGCTCGGATCCAAACAATCATGAATCGGATTTTCCCCATCGCTGCCCGAGGAGGTCGCTGATTGGTCGGTTGGCGGAGTCGACGGGAGGAGATCGCCAATCATGCACGAGAAAAGTTCGTGGGCGGTCGAGAGCGGCGTGCACCGGAAGCGAATCACGCGTGTTGCCGGTGCGCGATGACGTTCGAAAATGTCGAGGAACGTGGTCAGACCATGGCCTGAAAGATGAACATATTTCATACACTTGTTACACTGCGATGGACATATCTGCAACTGGGTTCTCTCTCGCTAATTATAGAATGATTTTTTTAATGGTGCTCTTAATTACAGAAGTATGGTTAACTTCTTACCCAAACCATACATTTTATCACAGCACTTTGTTACTTTCTTGAATAATCTGATTTAAGATGTTGGTGTGCTAATCTACGGCTTTCACTACCCATATTTACAATAAAATAAGCAAAGACCTTAGCGTCCAGTATTGTCTTGTTGAGATCTGATACATAATAATTTTTTTATATCTTTTTGGCAAGGGATATGACTGAGCTAACACATTCTCACAGACCTGGAAGTTATAACATAAAACATTATTTCAACAGACAAAGATCAATGTGAACTTTGCACCCAAGAACATAATAGAACTCTGCTGTATTATACATCAGTGACATGTATGGAGTACTTGGAGTTTTGTAATTATTTCATTTTCTCTAATATACTAGGAAGAAATGGGTCTATTAAATCATGTACTAGAAAAATCATGAAATGTGGAGTACGTCCCAGTGATAGATGAACAGATGTTATGTTATATGTTATACCTCGTAAATGATGTACTAGATAGAAATCAACATCTATATTAATGTGTATTTATAAGATTGTTTACAAAACAATTTAATAAATTGTATACCTCACATATGTATGAAACAGTCAAATCTCAATTGATTAAGTACATTATACACATTGCATGCAAAGTTGTGCTTATCTGAATATTTCTGGGGAAGGAAGTCATACATAGTTTTCATTAGATTCTTAATAGAGTCCGTGGCTCTAAAAAGCTAAAGAACCACTGCACTAGCGGTTACATGAGGTTATATCGTAAATGTAATAACTATAATACTGGGATAAACTGTACAACTGGGCCTCTATACGTAACAACATAGGTAGATAAAGGAATAGAGTAAATAACTGTCTAAGAATAAAGCCTGGATGTCGATAGATAAGCAACCTGAATTCAGGTGTAAACTATGATGAGGCTAACAAATGGGCGCGCGCGCGTGTATGTATGTGCGTGTACGTGTATGTGTACATGCGCATGTACGTGAATGTTTACGTCTACGTGTATGTGTACATGTGCATGTACATGTATGTTTACGTGTACGTGTGCGTACGTATATGTGAGTGAATGCATGTACATCTCTCCATACATACACTACGCACACACCCAACCTACTCACCCGGCTTAGCATAAAGCAGGATCGGACACGTGACGTCCAGCAGCTGCGGCAGAAGCGTCAGCGCCGCCTGCAGCTCGGGCGTGGCCACCACCCGGTTCGCGTAGTCCAGGAAGGCATCCGACGGCGCTGGGCTCCGCGACCCCAGCCTGGTGAACAACCGGATTGCAATGTATAGTGAATCAATAATGAAGAACAAAATTGATAGTAATCAATCACTAATGAAGAACCGGAAGTGATAGTAATGTATAGTGAATCAATCATTTAGAACCGAAAGTGATAATAGTATATAATGAATAAATAACGAAGAACTAAAAGTGACAGAAATGTATAATGATCCAATAATTAAGACCCGAAGGTGATAATAACGTATGATGAATCAATAGTGAAAAAACGAAATTATAATGCAATGTATAATGAAGTAGCCAAAGTCAATAACAGTGTATAATAAATCAGAACAGAAATGCATAATGTATAATGACGAACCGGAAGTGATAATAGTGTACAGTACAATGAATCATGAATCATAACTGATGATTAGCTATGAATAATATATTTTTCAACTTATACGCAGCCATATATATACTTGAAATCTTCCCAACTTGATGAATAATTTTAATATGTTGTAATGCTTAATAAATCATGTATGTTAAGTGAAACCTTTTGATGAATAACCAAAGAGGATAATGTATACTGAATCGGACGCACATAGCTAAGAAAGATACAAATACAAGCTTATAATGGATGAGTTGTATATAACCAATGGCGGATGAACTGTATATCAAAGTCAACATAATAATAACACTTCCCAGCCTGATGATTACAACCCCCTCCGTCTAACAATCAAAACCTTCTAAACCTAATATTCACAGCTTTCTCAACCTAATAACCCTAACAACCTATTAATTATAACCTTGTCAGCCAAACAGTTACAACCTTCTTAATCTAATAATCACATTTTTTACCTTAACCAAAATAATCACAAAGTAAACAAAAGAAAAACGACTAAGAAATTGACTGTTTCAGTGGTTGTCTAATTGGTTGTTTAACTGCGCTTGTCGGGTTGTTTGATAAATGATTCTCACAGAAAATGGTTGATGGTGAGTGAATGTTCGGGTTAATGAGGATGGTGAGTAATGCACGAGTATTAAACTTGAATGAAGGTTAACTTATGAGTAAAGATTTGAGTTGAAAGTTGTTCCTAAGTAACCGGTGATAATGTTCAAAATACTGACATGCTAGTAGGCTAATGTTAAAAAAATAATAATAATAATTGTCTTTCTACCTATTTTTCATTCACTCGCCATTGAAATCGAACATTATCATTATGTGGAATCGAGTCGGCACTACTGTTACTAGAGGGAAAGTTGGGTCAAGTTCAGTTCAATTAAGTAAAGTTATTTAAGTTAGCGTAAGTTATGGTGAGTCAAAGTCAAGTCAAGTCAAGTCAAAGTCGTCAAAGTCAAGTCAATCCAATTAGGTAGGGTTAATATCGTCAGGTTAGGTTAAGTGGATTCCTATAGGCCCTCTCCCTCTCTACCTGGCGGGTGTGTAGGCGCCTTCTCTCGCATCCTGGTGGAGATGAGGATGTCTGGCGGTATGTAGGAGCTCAAGGACCTGCTGCAGCACCTCCAGCAGTTCCCCGGGGGCGTGGCAGGGGTCACCCGCGCCTCCGCCATGCGAGATACGCATCCTGCTACTCTCATCTGCAGGAGGAGGAGGAACTAAGCTCTCCATTGATCACATTTTTAAATTCTTTTATTTTATTTTAATATATTCTTTTTTTATTTATTCTTTTTTGTTTTCGTGTGTATGAAAGAGGGAGAGGGGGAGGGAAAGAGAGGGAGGAGAGAGAGGAGAGAGAGAGAAGAGAGAGAGAGAGAGAGAGAGAGAGAGAGAGAGAGAGAGAGAAGAGAGAGAGAGAGAGAGAGAGAGGAGAGAGAGAGAGAAGAAAACGAAAAAGGAAAGAAAAAAGAAAGAAAGAGAACGAAAAAAGAAAGAGAAGGAAAAAAAAAGAGCAAGAAAAAGATTAACGAGCACCACCGCCACATGCATCCGGACTCCCCGCCCCTCACCAACGACGTCTGAGGCAACTCCAGGTTAACAAGTCCTTCAGCGACGAGTGTCCTGGCCTCCGAGATCTCCCTCTGGCCCTGGAGGTGCGGGAGGACCTTCAGGAGCCTCTTCATGGCCCGCCCCGCTGCGCCTGAAGCCGTCATCGCCTCCGTCGGCAGCTTCAGCACCGGACACCTGAGCAGAAGATGCAAATTTGCAAGTTTTTTAAAATGTATGTATTCATTTTTGGATTCTTTTTATTATTTGCGCGCGCGCGCGCGCGCGCGCGCGTGTGTGTGTGTGTGTGTGTGTGTGTGTGTGTGTGTGTGTGTGTGTGTGTGCGTGTGCGTGTGTGCGTGTGCGTGTGCGTGTGCGTGTGCGTGTGCGTGTGCGTGTGTGCGTGCGTGTGCGTGTGCGTGCGCGTTGCGTGCGCGTGTGCTTGCGTGTGTGCGTGTGAGTGTGCGTGTGTATGAACTCCTCCTCACCATCATAACCTCACCTGACTCGGGCATGAGATATGAGGTTCTTCTCGTCGCTCTGTTCGATAATGACCCTGATGTCCCCCTCGAGGATGACCTGGTTCAGCGCCTCGTCCTTGAAGGTGGGCGAGGTGTGGCACAGGTGGGACACGGACTTGAGGATGTCCTGGGAGAAGGGACCCACGAGGACTAACCAGCACTCGCCTGGACTCTAACCGGGGGGAGGGGAAGGGGGAAAGTTGGTGAGTTGTGGTGAAACGACATGGAGGGATGCATGTATTCAGATGATCGGATAGATGGATGAATGATTGGAGGGAGGGAGGGACGGATAGATGGATGGGTGGTTGGAAGGAAGGAGGGAGGGAGGGGGGACACACACACACACACACACACACACATTCGCACTCACCTGCTGCAACTCTGTCAGCGTATGGAACAGGACGCCCTTCCTCCACATCCTGCGCTCCTCGTCCCAGTTCCCCAGCAGATGATCCCGCGTGAAGGCTCCACACTGCAGGACACGCCACGCAACACCACGGAAGGACCCATCATTTCCTTCCTTCTGCTTCTTCCTGTTTAGAGCTTCTGCCAACACCTGGGGAGATGGTGGCAGTGTATCTGTTATAAGGTCTGTGACAAATAAGTCCTTCTAACGAAATAGAATTACTTTATATGGATTACCCTTATAAACAGAATTATTTTAGATGGGTTGCTTATATTTGTCGGAATCCATAATAAAGATGGTATTATAGTATTAGAATCTTCAGTCTAGTTTATGATTTTCCTCGGATATAAAGGTTTAAAAAAAAAATCTTTAAATAAATCAATCAATCTTTACCTTCCAGACGACAGATTTCCCGGATCCCGACGGAGCCATGATACAGCAACAGTGATGAATGGTAAGCAGAGAGTACATATGCAATGCCGCTTTCATGATCGATGCCCCATGACTGCTAAGTTCCTTTTCCTTCTCAGCCAAATTTCCTTCCATTTCTTTCCCTCCTTCTTCATTCTGGACTTCTTTTTCCTTTTCCTTTTTATCAGCTGTGTCTTCGGCGATCATCTGCTGTCCTTCCTGTGTGGCTTTGATGATGTCGGACTCGTCGGGCACTTCGTAGGCGAGCTCCGACTCCCCGCCGAGGAAGGTGTCGTCCGCGTCGCCGTAGCCCCATTCCAGGAGGACCTCCTTGATGGCCACTTCGACGTCGCAGGGTTCGTGATTCCTCTCCTGATCTTCGGCATCCTCCAGCTCGAAAATCTTATTGAATTCCTGGCGCCACAGAGCTTCCTTCTCACTCTGGAGGGGCGAGGTCACGGCATAAAGCGCCTGCGTCACGATCTCCTCGTCGCTCATCGTCTCCGAGTACGGTGGATACCTCATCCAGAGAGAGACGGCACTGGATGAGGTCGGATTTGTGTCTCTTTCGCATTTTTCGTTTTCTTTGTCTGCGGTTTCCGATTTTGATGCATCTTCATTACCATCTTCTGTCACTTCTTTCTTCATTAGTGACGTGTGTCTGATGTCGCAAGCAACACGAGCGGTTGCCTGAACCAGTCTGTTGGAAAACGTGAAGAAAACATCAACATTCACATCATAACGTAAATACACCTACGTTAGTATTCCATAAAGTTCACTAACCTTAAAATATTGATCTAATACACCTACACGTTACACGATATGTTTATTATTCCATCAGAAGCGAGAATCAAGCCTCACCTGGCCAGTGACGTAGGAGGGGCCATGTCAAGGAGATTCGTCAGCTGGACAAAACAGCTGCGCGCTTTTTGCAAATATTCCCGCGACAGACTGAACCCTCGACCGAATAGCATGGCTTCTAGTAGCGTGTCTGGATGAAACAGAAGAAAAAATGGAAGCGGAATCTAAGTCAAAGAAATATTTTTACGAAAATTATTAAGTTGTTTGATAAAGTACGGAGTTGAGATATTTCAGCTGAAGTAGTTTCAGTTCATTCGCATTTTTCCCATTCTTTCTAGTGAGCTTATAAGCCGGACTGTATAAATTATGAGAAACTGATATAGGTGAAAACATATGACTATAGAAGTTAAACAAGACAATACAGAATTCCACTCTACATATATATAGTAATTACCATTAAATACTTAATCAAAGACATACACTGCATAACACTTACTCAGAGTGGGCGGGCAGACCGATACAGAGGTAAGATGCGGCGTGATAGGGTGGTTCAGCAATGGATATGATGACGTCACCGTTGCATCATCCTGTGACGTCACACTCATAAACAAAGTGAAGGAGTCGACCAAGTTCATCTCTTGTCCATCTATCACGCCTCTTAAGATGATAAAAACGGATAAAAAATTAAGATTTAGAATAAACAAAAAGGCTTAAAAAGGTAAAATGTATTAAAAAAAGGCTTATAAAAAACTAAAGTCAAACATCTCTTTTAAAACTACAGAAAAATAAATAAACTAAACCAACCAAAAGACACAAAAAACTCACAAAATATTATGAAAAAATATAACAATAACACGCATACCTCTTGAGGGCGTTAACCTTCGCCTGATAGATATTATGGGCGTACTGAGAGAGACGAGACAGCAACGTGGGCGGGAGGAGGTCTGCATCTTCCAGTAACAACCAGTAACCCCCTTGCACGCCCGCACACACCACGTGTTGGAGGCTCTGAAGGGAGGAGGCGACATCGTTCAGGTTTCATTTAGAATTTTTTTTAATGGCGTGGGGCTTTCATGGTGAAGTTCCTAGGCGCAGGTTGTCGGTAAATAAATTCGTCGGTATAAGGAAATGATGTTTGTTTGTTTGTGTCATAGTCTCTGATGATTTGATTTATCTGTCTATCTACCTTCCATCCAGTCGATCAGTCAATCTATCTATCTGTGAATATATCAGTTTCACTCTCTCTCTCTCTCTATTCTCTCCTCTCTCTCTCTCTCTCTCTCTCTCTCTCTCTCTCTCTCTCTCTCTCTCTCTCTATATATATATATATATATATATATTATTATATATATATATACACACACACACACACACACACAGATTATATATATATATATTATATATATATATATAATATATATATATATATATATATATATATATATGTATGTAAATAAATAAACAAATAAATATACACATATATATACACATGTCTCACTCTATGTTTTAGTAGGTCTATTTCTATCTCTGTCTGTCTATCAACGTATTTGTCTGTATGTATGAATATTTCTCTAACTCATTCATTTACTCTTTTATTGTAAAGATTAATAATAAAAACAACCAATTAATTAAGACATTCATTAAGAACGGATATGCACTTCAGTTACGCAAATCATTAATCAACATTTACCTGTGCGGGCGTGTGATCTGAACAGGTAAGCATAGCCAGGTGTTGTCCAGCCGCCCGCGCGACGCCCTTCACTGTCTCAGTCTTTCCGCCGCCCACGCCGCCCACTGCCACGCCGCCTGGTGTAGGGTGGTCGTGTCATTAATATTCAAGATTTGTAATGGACATTTTCAAAGGATAAGAATGATAAAGATAATGTAACGTAGTATTGATGTTAATCTTAGCTTCTTTCTTAGTTTTTCTTTCTTTCTTTCTTTTCTCTCTCTCTCTCTCTCTCTCTCTCTCTCTCTCTCTCTCTCTCTCTCTCTCTCTCTCTCTCTCTTTCTTTCTTCTTTCTTTCTTTCTTTCTTTCTTCTTTCTTTCTTTTCTTTCTTTCTCTTTCTTTCTCTCTCTCTCTCTCTCTAACTATAGCTATCTATCTTCGCCTTCTCACACTTACCTCTCTGCCCCTCCCCCTCTCTCCTACACCCTTTCCTTTCCCTTTCTCCTTTCCTTTCCTTTATTTTTCCTACCTTTTGTTCTCCCTCTTCCTCTCACACTAGCATTTCTTCTCCGTCTCCCTCTCCCTTCAACGCCATACTTACACCTATTCTGAATAGCAGCAGTAATAAGACCATGGTGTGCTTTGAGGGTCGTTGGTGTAGGGATGGTTGCTGGAGAGACACCCATGTATTCGTATCCGTAATCCAGCTGACCCACGCCCACGGTCACCTGCACGCCCGCACTCCGCCCTTCGCCCGTGATCACGTGACGCAGGTGCTGTAGCCACGATAGACAAGCTGAGGGAGGTGGGTGGTCAGTGGAACAGCCGGGAAACAATGGAAGATCAAATTCCACAACAAAATCTCCATGTCCTTTAGGTTTCTGTGACAAGGTTTGTATTAATATAGTTTCATTATCTATCTGTATATCTATCTATTTATCATCTATCTATCTATCTATCTATCTATCGTTTTATCCTTAGATATACCACAAATACAACCAACAAACCTCGAACCCGGATTATCTTGAACCAGCGTTTGGGTCGTATCACGTAATTCCAGCAAAGTGGCTGTTAGATAAGACATCCTCGCTTGTTTCAGAGAAGATACGGTTCGATTCTCACTCTGGTTCTGTCTTACTGCGTTCGTCAATGCTTCTAGAACGTTTATTATCCTTTTGAGAACCCTCTGGAGGTCTGGTTTGTCTTGGGTTTCGGAGACCATGGCAAAGGCTCGATTCACTTCCCGAGACCATTGGATTCGCTTGCAGACGTCTAACACCTAGGATGGTGAAACTATGGCTTTATTTAACGATGGTCGAGAGTAATAACAACTCGGGTGAAAATGTGTATAAATTGTGAAAATTCAGTTACCAATTTCTGCCCAAAGATAAATAGTAAAATAATCTAAAAAATAATGTAGCAGGTAAATAGGTAAACAAACAAAAAAGGAAGTTTCATTAAACAACACCATACACCTTCGACTATACCAAGAAAAGACTTAAGAAAAGGGTACTCGCCTGCAGAGGCAGCTCGGATGTGGGTAAGTCAAGGTCGTCCTCGACGTGTTTGAGGATGAGACGTCGAATCGTGGCCCTCATACCGCTCTCGACTCGACCCAGCCAGTCCTCCACTCCGTGATGGGCTATCACAGGCTAATAAGATGAAGATAATGAGATTGCTACAAACAATTAACTCCTGTGGTATAATTTTCTACAAACCGGTCTGAAATTTAACGCATGCAGCGTTAAATTTAGTACTATCTAATAACATGTAACATAACATGTACTTTTTTCTTTCTTCCCAGTTGGCAATTTCTTCAGTTTCAGAAAATAATGAAATTCCATTAAATCGCGACAGAATTTTTTTTCCCTATATTCGGAAAAGGACATAACTCACTTTTGCCAGGTGAAGCGTTTCCTGTTGGGGCGACACCAGGGCCACTATCTGGCCGTCCTCGCACCTTACCAAGCGACCGACGCCCGTGAACATCCGACGCAGGTACTTGTGGCACACCTCAAGATCCTGGCGAGATATATTTTATGAAAATAAATCGATTTGGGATGTATTCGAAGGAAGAGACTGATTTCAAGAAAGTATTTTCAGTCCTAAAAACTGAAGTGTTTTTTTATTACTACACGAAAGCTATTCTCCGTCTAAACAAAGCTAAAATAATAGCACTCACTTGTCCCTTGGTGAGTAACTCGACGACGTCTTGGTCAGGAAGGACGAAGAGCCTCGGGCACGTCTGCTTCCTCATACCGAGCAGAGGAGACACGCACGCCCGTAGGTCTTCCATTGCCCTCTTTGCTGCAGCAGCTCCTCCAGTAGCATCCCGCCCCGAAGCTGCGATAACACCCGAGGTTCATCCTTCAGCCTGGAGAGCAATAGAGGTATTTTTCAGGGCAACGTAACACCCATGAACAAGTTCTCACAATACATGGATCTATAGATAAATGGATCCATGAATGATTATATGTGTAGATATATGTATTGCATTACTGTGCATATGTCTGTGTATTATTACCATGTGTGCACGTATATATATAACTCTTATTATGCGCGCGTCTAGATATGAATATCACTGTATGTCTAATATTCAAAATCAATGTCGCTAACACCATCATCAGCACATACATAACCAACCACTTTACGCTTTCACTAACTCATCACTAACTTCCTCAGACTTAACAAACGGCTCAACTCTGGAAAGTGTGGCGCTCCAGAAGGAGGAAGCAGCACAAAAGACGGCCGCCTGCAGAGGGAACACTTCCATGGCGGTGCAGGAACTCAAGACGAGGTCGAGAGCCAACCATTCGCCCTCGAAGTCACGAAGGGCAGCCTGGAGTTAAGGAATGGAAGTGAATTCACTTTGTCTAGAGGATATTAATTTATTTCTTCAGGTCTGTGGTAAAGCATATATTTTTTTCACATATTGGAATACACACACACACACACACACACACACACACACACACACACACACACACACACACACATATATATATATATATATATATATATATATATATATATATATATATATCAGATGGTAAGGTATATAACCTATGAGACTGTTACTTAACTTATGATATTTATGAAAACGTCGCTTCTTTTTCCGATTCCACTTATTCACCATTAGTACCATTCCATTTCGATGTCACTTTTACAACACTTCACACTTGCATTCCTCACACATTATCCCCATCATGATACCCTACACATAACCTACAACGTCGTCTGTCACTCACAACTGTCTCCTTAATGATAGTGTGGATGTTCTTCCACTTCACAGTTTCATTCTTGATGTGGAGAGCGTGCTGGGAGTGGAGGAGCAAGTGTAAGGTCAGGTCAGAGGCCAGCAAGAGGGATTCCAGGTCGGCGAGGTCTCCCAGCACGTACAGGTCCTTCCTGATGTAGGCTTGGACGGGGATGATAGCAACGTCCCAGTCTTCTTCGAGCTAGCGAGGACGATGAAAAGGCTTTGTACAATTTTTTTATACACACACACATATATATACACACACACACATACATATATGTATATAAATATATTGAATTTTTTTTCAATGGGATAATTTAACCGCAATTATCATAGCACTATCATTTACACAATCTTAAAATCCTTGCAGACAATATACTAGTCTGCCCTATTCGGAATACACCACATTAATTTACTTGAGTTACCCAGTCAAATATCATTTATAGAAAACATTGATCTCTAAATTTTAGGGATAACTTACCTTTTTCAAACGATTTTCCATTTCGCGCTGCAACTGGGCGGTGTGGGCAACCTGCTGTAAGGTGTGGGCGTGGGTGTGGAGGGACATTTCGTCGACGTGAGCCAAGGTGAGGTTGGGTGGCAAGGCTCGACCCAGGGCAGTGTCTATTTCCTGCCAATGTCTCGGTCGGAGGGCGGAGTCTGTTAAGGCTTCCAAGACAGGCAGCTGCGTGAAGAATAATTAGGA